ATCCAATTCGCTTGAGAGTAATATGATTTGTCCTGGTGTACAGTCATCGTATGCTTGTATTTGTGATGGGAACACGGCTGATCTAGCTCTTTGTTGTAGTCATGGCGCAGAGTCGCACTCTCGAGGCGTGTGACAAATATATATATAACATCTCCTAACTTCTGCAGATTTTCTCATCTTTTGAATTTCATAAAGCTCTCGCATCTTCAAAAAACGCTATTCATTTTATGACATAATCATCTTCTTTGTGGCGTGTGAGCTCGCTTGCCGCGTTAAGTCGACCTCCTAGCTAACTAGATCAGTAGCTACTTGCTCAGTCTGGAACGAATTATGCCAGTATGGGAAACTCCGCGCCTGGATCAGGACAACACTGTCGAACACTGAACCGTGTATCGCCCAGTCTTCTGTGCCTATAACTGAACTGGTCTGGCCGCCTCGTCGCATATTACCATAAGCATCAACCTATGTAAAAATACAGTAAATAAACGGAGATGTGTCTTGGCCTGCGTATTAACTAAACACCGGCGAAAGGTAGCAACAATAGAAGCGTACACGGTTCATAAAGAATGCATGCTATTCAGAAATTACTCTGTCATTGTTTTCGTTTTTGATTGGGTAGGATTAGCTAAGCCGTAAAAAATAAGGATACAAATATATATAAAAATCGACAAAGCCTGATGTATTTCTGATCGTTGTTCATGGTATAAAATATGTACATTACAATTATATACTGTTTCACACGTTCTGCTCAATAAAAACAAACTTGGAGTAACTGTTATATGTAATCTACAGGTGCCTAAAAACGCTGTAGTATAATGCCGGCTATACAACAGAAGTCCTCTGTTAGATCCGTGTTAGGTCAAGGTGAGTACAGGTTAGTGTCAGCAGCCATAAGTTTCGAGCCAATTCAAATTGATATGTAAAGACTCGTCCTGCGAACGGTTTCTGCATAGGGCAGTCGGCTGTCATTGATAACAACTAACTTCAAATGGTCTTTCCTTTTCGGTCTCACCCCAATCGAACTAACCCAGATCTCGAGCATTAATTGAAAAGCAGGGCTTTGAGCTCAATACTGACAGTGTTACGTGACTTACGAAAGAACTACCAACGCAACTTACAACTATGTACCTCTTAATACTTCATTATGGCATTATTATTATCTCCTTTGACAAGCTCAAAGCATGGCGATAGACTTATCACCGCACAATTTTCACAATGTGCAGTAGACACCGCTGGGAAACCCGAGTGAAGGCTTACATGTACGTCGGCACTGATTGTACTGTTACCCAATCAGTGTCTCTCTGATTGTTAGATGCTTCATTTTGAATTACTCACTAGATATCATCTCACATCTCGTTAAATAACGGCTACATTAGCGTCTTGTCTAAGTGATCTAGTTCCAGTAATTTGATTTGCATCATACCCGTTAGAGCTCAAGGTGGACAAATGTGCACGCCGACAGGTGACATTCTCCAATGAAGGCAAAAGCTTCTCAATTATCCTTTCGAAAAAATGTTCGAGAAAATGAGGGCAAAGTCTTAAGTCTGTTTGTTTGGAATAGTTGGTTCCGAGCACCCGAACTAAACAAAGTACTTGGCCGATAACGACAACAAGAGCTCGTGAATTCGGCTGTAACATTCCCCTTTGTGTCAGGACACACGCTATCAAACATAACGTCGACAAGAAACTGAATTTAACTCTAGTTTACAATAGCGGATCAACTAACCGAATCGATAGATTGGCCATGAAGTTTGCGGTCTTTCTCATCGACAAACAAAATCGGATCAGTTGGTGTTCCAGAACGTTCGTTCTTTCTTTTGGCCCCGCCCCTTTTCCTTCTTTTAACTTAACACCTTCTGCGGTCGTTTTCCCCGCTGTGTTCCCTCTGCACATTTCATTGGTCTCGCTGTCAGTCGTTTTTTCACGTTCTCAGTTCCTTTTTCTGTTCACCAACGTGGAAACCATGTGGAACATGTTAAACACTTTGGAGCAGAGCGATAAAAGCGATTTCGCCTTCATCATTGTTCATTTTTCCTTCATTTGAACATTTGTGCAAACGCAATGGGCAGGCGGGGCAGACGTCCAGGCTGAAGCACAAAGGTTTTTCTCTGCTGTTGTCGGCGTCGTCGTTGCAGGAGCTGATGGTTTCGCTTATGTGTCTCGCTATCAAAACATGCGACGACACAGAGGTAAATAGATCGAAAATCGTAGAGAAAAGAATTCGGCCTAGGAAACGATATGGTATTCGAATTTCTTGCCACTCACGCCGGCAGCGAGGGTGCTCGTTGCATATACATCGAGCCGCTGCTGGTGTATGTACAAGGTGTAAACTCTTTGCCGCGGATCCTGCTAGGTAGCAGCTCTGGGACCTATGACTATTGGAAAGGACGTTCAACGTTCAAGAGCCACACCCCTCGCAGTACCGAGTAAGAAATTGTGCCGCTGTGGGCAAATGAGTCGGGTACGCTAACCCCTCTTCTTGTTCAATGGCCTTTTCCTTCTCTCCCTCCATTTCTCTCTCTCCCCGCGTCTCCTTATTTTCGCTCTGACGCGTTGGCCGCTCACTCCGTCCGCCAGGTGTCAGGTAAAATGTAAAAGGCTGTGAAGGAGTCGTGGTGGCGGAATTGGTGCTGCGAGGTGTCTGACAACCCCGCGTACTCCTCTAAGGTTCGACCATTGGCGTTTCGAGCAAAGCTACCTGGAGGAAGAGGGCTGGGTAGACAGGGATGGTCGCTGGGCAGACGCCAGCCCCACTCTCTTAGTAAAGCACGAAAAAACGGTTTGAAAGAGAACGGCTGCATTATTGAGGCAAGTGTTCGATGGGGCGAAAAATAGGTGAGCGAGGTGCTGGCAGCAGCCGCGACAGAAGAGGCTGCAGTGGAAAGGGAAAAAGCAATGCAAAAGCAAAGAAAAAATGTAGCTCGACAAAGGAAGGAAAAGGAAACTGAGGAAGCAAATGATTGGCGATTGATTTTCTGATTGCGCTGTTACCGGCGCCATTCGCAGATTCACAGGGCAGCAGCAAGGGTAGAAGTAGATGCAGCAGAAAAAAGGAAAGAAAAAGAGTCTTCTTTTTTACAGGGAAGAAAGCGAGAGATGTTGGTTTGGGGCGACAGGAACAAACGGGAAAAATGCCGTGAAAATGTCTGTATAAAAGAGGGGGGACTGAGAAGAGATACAGCGGTATAGATAGCGGCTCGGGCTACGGAGTTGCACCATATTTTGGCAGGGTGCGGCGTTAAAGGAGGTATACAATCTTGTATAGGCGAAAAATGTTTGAAGTAAGTTAAGAGTAACGTGTGGATGGGTCAAATCTCCACTGAAGTTCAAAACTGCACAATAAAAGAATCAAATATTGGTATATGAAAGCATTCATATACTTTATGGTAGAGAAATGAGGAGTTCTATAGCAAAAGAATGAAAAACCTCTGAATATCAGAAAACGTCATTAATTTATAATGTTTAGACATATTTTCTATCCCCTCGCATACACTTCGTTCATTGAGCAACGTACAATATAAAACTATCATGCATATATTTAGAAAAGCAACATTAGTCCAATTAAAGTGCATATAAGATTAGACTTATTGGGAACAATCTAATCATTTGTCCTTGATGAAGGAATGACTGTCCTTGATGTTTTAATTTAATACTGTTATTAAAATGAAAACTCGCACCACTGACGCATGCACAAATGGCGCATAAGACTACACCAGAGCAAATATAAGGAAGGTTATAGTTTGTTACCGTCTTGCATATGTAAAGCGACAATAACATGACGATCCGGTGGGTTTCGCTCAAATATATTACAGAAGATGCGCTGCGAAGGTGGTATTGACTTCCATAGTTTTTCAGCCAATCGATAAAGAAAATCAGATCGTAAAAAAAAGATCGTTTATCCATCAGCAATATCAGAAGCTTCTATCGTTGAGGTTCAAGACCTTCTATTCAAAGCGGAAACGTTTTTTGTCAAATGTCGGCGACCCGATATATGTCGAAAAGTACTGTGCCAATCGTTAGATAACTAGACCAACTAAACACACCGCCGTTCACAAAACAATACTTGTCCGTGGAGATAAGGAAGACAACTTGTAAATATTTCTTTGCTGTTGTAGAAACGCACTTCGTTTATTTTATGAATACAGTTAAAAAAATTTGAGAACAAATTGAAAGCGTAACTACTTTCGAGTCAAACAATTGCGTCAAATATATTATGCCCTTTAATCCTGACAACAAACGAACAAATCTCCAGTGAGTACCTTACTGGAAGTATTTTCAATATTTTTGTTACCTAAAACTGGCTCAGCAATTGCCCTTCGCTAGGAACGAATGCCACTTCTCATGCAAATCTATTCGGTAGCGCGCAGCTCAAATTAAAAGGTAAAAAGGACTACAAAAGATACGAGAACTGCTGCAGTCTAGGTCTTTTTGTAACCAATTATGATTTGGTTGATAAGCACCATGCGCATCAATCTAGATTTCACTAATTATAGGAAACGATTTTCAGTACCGGCTATTCGAGGTCAGAGCGATGTCTCAAAGAGCCACCTTTTCTGAAGCCAAATTTTCAACGGGAGGTGTGGTATAAATGCCTAAAGAGCTTTTTTATTACGTTGCCATGGTAACTATAAACATGCGGCCATCGTTGGTTCAAATTTCAGCCTTGGTAAATGGTTCCCATAGGTACTTTTATAGGTTTGTTGGAGAAACCCTATCAGCAAGACCCAAATTCCACCAAGACTCACCTCAGCCATAGTACGAGCAAATCCTTGCTGCTATGTTACGCAGTATAATAGCTGAAGGTGCTAAAAAAAGGTTGGTATAGTGGACAATATGTTTATTGTAGACAGTTTATAGGCAGTTTCATGAAGTTTTCCCTCCAAAAAATTCGCTTTGCGGAATAGCTCTTAGCTGCAGAAGTCACGTTGCTTGTCCACTGCTCGATAGGATAAAAATAAAATCAATAAGATAAAAAGCATCATATTTTTCTTTCAAGTTTGTTTTTCAGATTATCACACAAATACGCGAAAAGTAAAATAAAAATACAAAGGTAAATAGATCTTTACTGCTTTTTAATATGACCTGCGCCTCTGGAACATAAGTAATACATGAACTAGATAATCTAAGAAAAGTCAACGGAATTCAACTGTTCAGAGTAGTGCAGCTTGTTCGTCCATATACCCACGATAGTGAAAGATATGGTTTTCCATTAAAACCAACACAAATCAAAAACAATAGTTTCAATATTTCTGTATAGTAGCGCAACTTAGCTTGTACCCACGGAGCGTGTTGGCGTCGCTCGAACGCTCTATTGCTTGTTGATAACGGAAAGTCGCCAGTTGAGCGAGTCCTAGTTTTTTAAAACATTATACAGTTGTAGGAGGCTCTATTCTTATAGAGCTGAATAAAGAAAGGATATGTAGAGAAAGTGTAGAAGGTAAGTTCTGCGGAGTTCAGACAGCTGTGGACAACAAGCAGTTTTCTATTCTGAATAGGTCAGTCATGCAAACTATTGCGAAAATATCGCAATGTTCTAACAAATACGCTATATTAGAAAGACATCTTGTTTGTATTCTTTTATATCTCTTCCTAATCAGTACTTTTAAAAGCTACCTGCAAACAATTTTTCTTGCCGTACAATGTACCTTGATAATAGGCGTTTATAATGCAAATGTCTGCCGTGTTATCGAAGCCACAATGAAAACGAAATCAACTGCTAGTCCTGTTCAATGCCAACAAGTTCTTCTACGAGAAATAAAAACATTATTATTACTACCACTATTATCGTTATTTTTAACTACTTAGCGGCCTTTCATTTTATTACTGCTGCAATCATTTCTCTTTATTATACCTTTGCCTAATCTACCATAAACACGACAACAAGCACACTAGTTGATATGTTTATATGTATCAAGAAATGTATTTTAAATCAATGGTACAATTATACAAGTGCACGGTTTCGTCTACACAACTACAGTTCGCGCATTTGGTTGGAAGTATCTTACTTCCATCTTCAACATACACAGTGAAATTAGCTTTATGTCTGCAGCAGCAGCTTTTGCAATGTTAATGGCGGATACATTTTTTCTATCTGTACATCTGCATCGATTCGACACTTTTCGCCACCACTTCATTATTTCCTTTCATTAGTTTCATTATTTCATCGTTCATTTTTAGTGATCATCTCTCCTTACGGGTGCTCTGTCAAGCTTCCATTTATTACCATCCATCCATCCACCAAAGTCCACATTTTTTTGACCATTCATTTGTTTGCCGTTACCAGAAGCAGCAGCGGCCACCGCAGCAAAACCGTTTTTTGTATCATTATCATCGTTATTATAATTATTAGCATTGTTTTATTATAATTGTTATTATTATCGCTTATTCGTACGTCCTTTGCTCCATCTCTCCCGTTTCCTTTGCTTACATCGCCACCATTACCACAGGTCCCCCCTTTTTTCCCGGGTTGCAAAAAACAGCTTAACTCGAAGCCAGCCAATCCAAATCTAACCGCCTGCTTCTCTAACTTGCTAACCACGCAGCAAATGTGTTCACAATCACGTTCAGTCTAATACGATACACTCGTTTTACTTTTCCTTCTATTTTGCCCCTGCTTTCTATTTTTCTAAGTCGCTTCCCGATATATAATTAAAACTTTACTTAATCACACATGCTGTGTGATATATAATTGTATATATATATATTTTGTATATATATATATATATATATATATAACTATCTGCCATCATGTCTTTCTTTCTCCCTTCTCTCTCTCGATGTGTGATGATCTCTTGCATTTTTTTCTTGTAGCTAGCTATCAGTTTTCATGTATAGCTGCTATTATTATTAATCATACTATAGTAGATCAACAATTTTTCACTGGACAAACAACGGCGAAAACGACGACAATCAGACTAAACGGCAAGCATAATACCGCACAGAGCTCAAAAACACAAAAGAAAAGTAGTCAAAAACGACACAAGCAAAAACCTACGATATGCCAGTAATGGACATGTACACAAACAAAAAGGTAAACATGATCTTAACAATGAAACTCATTATGTGTAAACCTCTATTGGTTGGAGGTGTTCTCTGCGCACGGGCGACTGTTTTTCTGTGAATGTGTTTAATGTATCTCTTGTGTGCAGATATGTACGAGTATCCGAATATGTAAAAAAGATCGTTGAGGAACTCTTTCGTCGCAGGATACGAGAATATAAACAATTATTATAATTCTTTGTTGTTTGTACCTCAATGAATTCTAGTAGGTTTTTTGAATTCAAGTGATTTTTAATTACAAAGAACTGACGAGAATGGCTGAGACTGATGATTGACTAATGAATAAAACAGCAATGATAGCACAATATTTGATCAATTAATCAACTCGTATTCAATTGATATCGTCGTTTGACGCAACTGTTCCGAATTAGATAAATCTTGTAACGCTTGTCGATCGATCAGCCTGAACAGTTATTCTGATGATCACACACGATTATGGCTAAGCTGTGTTTCGTCTGATTTGTCTCTTCGAAATAAATTTTTTTCTTAAAGTTGCTCGCTGCCTTTCTCTCTTCCTGTCAGTCTGATGACAATACACCGAAAAATGCTATCGTGATGACATTTTGTTACGGTGTCTGCATTAGAACAGTATATTTGTGGATTTTTTCGATTTTGTATGTCTCATTACGCTAACTATTGTCGCCCTCGTTGTCCCACTTTGTGGCGTTACGTTACTCGTTTGTATTCATATGTAATGAGCTTATGCATTTTTTTACCTTTCTTGTGCATTTAATTATCCTCGTTTCGTTACCGTCATCCCTGAGAATTGTTACGCTCCCCTCGAGCCACGAGCCAATCACATAATTACTATATTAAACCACTATTATGATTCTTATCATTGCTGATATTATTGTTTCATTCTATCCATATTATTATTATCATTACTATTATTGTCGTCGATAAATATTGGCTTGTTGGTTTTGTTTCACTGGTCGTCAACAAAAATCTACCTGTCTTCTTTGCCTTTCCATTTCCCAGTTCAGTCTTGCCAATGTCATCAAACGAGAAACATTTTACCTATTTTTGCCGTTCGATAAGGCGACCACGACCACCTATGCCCCAAATAACTCTGTGTCCACGTTGGTTCACGTACTTCGTTTCTATATAATAATATTACTACGACTTATCCGCTAACTCTACGTATCATAAAGTTATTCAAAGTTTACGCACAATTCTAAACAAATTCAAAACTATGCAGACGATTTTATACAGAACACGGCGGGGTTTTCCGCGTGATTTTGGTTTTCTGTCGCTCTATTTGTTTTTGTCTGTCTGTTTATCCGTTTGTTTGCCTGGTCGCGTAACTCTGTGTGTATGAGTGTGATAATGCATGTTATACGTATCTCTATGTCAAGGTGAACGTGCATTGTTGGTTCGGTTGTATACGTTGTCATTGATCGATTTCAAAATGTCCAGAACCCGAACAGCATAGAATAGACTCAAACTGAATAGCGTGACGCGTATAATCTAGGTTTGTTTTCTCAACCTCTAGAGTAGAATTATAATAATTTTAGGCTTATTACGGATGCTCTATATGCATGTATTTTGTTAGGTGTCTACCCTCTTCTCGTGTGGTTGTGGAAAGCGTCTAACGCAAATTTGCCAGTTTCAGCTTTTTGCTGTCAGCTGTTTTGCGTGCGGCCAGGCTGCCTGCCCTATTTTCTATGAGCGGTAAACGTAGAATTATAATTGTTGCCAGTCGTATACCGTTTACTGAAACTCGAACGTGGCTGCGTCAGGATGTACCGCTAACCAATGCCTGTCGACTGCACAGCGATTGCATGACATTTCCCGTCGCCCTATTCGTGAAACCTGAAATCATATAGCACGTCAAGAGCACAATTATCATTACATTCGTTACTGATTGTTGAAGTTTACACTGAAGCATTGAAGACAACTTATAGGTATTTGTATTGTGAAAACGAAAACAGCGATTGCTCTTCAGTTGCCCAAACATAAATAACGACAACAGATAGCGACTACCCTAAAACGCCAGAGACGGCATGTTCTTCAGTGTTGTTGTATCTCTTCAAGGCAATCGTTTTACAACCGCATGTTAAACTAATTAAGAAATTAAATGGTAAGATATAACATTAACATGAACATTTGAGATATAAGATGCTTAGAAAAACTAATGAACACCTACTTTCATTGGTCATTCTTCCGTTCTTCCCCAGGAACGACCTGACTGCCGCCAGCTGTTCCTGTGCTAATGGAAGCCCCAGGTAACGCACTGCCGGCACCACTCGAGATGTCGGCAGCGGGAACTCTTACTCCATTCGAGGTCGTGTCCATCTGCTCACCTGCAAGTGCATCCGAACTACACCCTGTTTCGGTGCCGACTGCATTCGTTAACGGTGGTTGCTGAAAAAGAACACGAAAAATTAGTTTACCACCATCTTCTACACAAGCGTATTATTTAGGATAATAAACCGTAGATTTATCTAAATATGACTCAGTGTGGCCTGTAGAAACTATAGGGATTACAACATGAAAATCCAATTTTTTCCTAAGCGTTCATGTATCTTTCACAGTCTGCCTTTTTAATACAATTTTCTAATTAACAAGTACATGAATCCCTATCTAGTTCGACACATATACTATACAGCACTTTCTTGGTACCTTCGACGAATGGGCTTGAACATTCGGCTCCACAAACAGACAGCTGATCAAATTGCCATGATAAATGACTAATTAAAAGCGTCATTAGGTGACAAAGCTTTTGCCGTACCTGTCCATCAGTTTCCTTTAGCTCTCTAGCTGAATTGCTGCCACTGTCCGCTAGTCGACTATTAGCTCCTTCACTGTTGCCACTGTAGACGTTCCGGTTCATCGTATTGCCATCATTTACGCTTCTTTCAGCACCAACTGGTATTGTGTTTGCTGTGGTTTCTATTCTCTCTGTTGGTCCATCACCGGATATGCGCAGCCTTTTCGCCGGCGGTTGATCTCCTTCGTTGTCGTCCCGGAAGGTTTCGGACGTCACTACACAACTCGCGGCACTATCTGCCGTTGACCCGCTGGTGATGTTGGCAAGTGCCGCAATCTCTCCTTGTTCTTGCTGCTGCTCGTTGTTGGGTTCCGGGCTACTGCTGTCGATACAAGCAGCAGCAGCGGCACCGCCGCCGCCGCCACCACCACCGCCAGCACCGCCAACAGCTATTCGAAGAGTGGCGGTCGTCGTTGTAACAGTTGTACTCGCGGTCGTCGATGCTGGAGGAGTCTCATTTATGATAGCTTCTACTTTTGGTGAATGACTTGATCCGTCGCCCGTAGAATCACTGCTGCTCAGACTGTTCTCCGTCACACTGATAGCGTTCGGTGGTTCATCATCGCTATCTTCGTCCGGCTCGTAGTCGACGAGTTTTACTGAGGCATTGTTGTTATTATTATTGTTCATAGCCACATGCTGCTGCAATCGATGATTACTACCGCCCTGAAGAGTTAGTGCTCCACCATCACCGATGTTGAGTCTGCCGTTTCCATCATCGTCACCCGTGAGTGACTCATCGCCGCCACATTGTCCACCTGCGGCCGCTGCAATTCCACTACCGACAGTCGAGTTAGGCCCGCCAGCCGCCGTGGGGTCGTCATCTTCGCCGTCGTCTGCAGCGAACCATTTTTCTTCATCGTCATCAATTTGCCGTGGGTCGCGTTTGAAACGACTGCTACTGTGGAGCACCTGATCTGAAGTACCATGCTGTTGAAGCTGCTGTTGTTGAAGACCCGCTGCTGGCGGCAGAGAACTGCCATCTATTGATGGCACAACCTTCAGACCGTCCGCTCCTGTCCCCATTTTTAGTCCAGCACCTACACCGCGATTTCCCGCTGATGACTCGAGAGGGAGGGACGCTGTCGGCTCTTCAAACTTGGCTCGCAAAGCGCGGAACGTCGGTACGTAACTAATCGAGTCCAATTCCTAAAAGGTTCATGATTACATAAAGTTGGTCAGTCAGCCAGAAATGTAACAAATTACGGGTCAACGGCACATTATAATAAACTTACATATATAGATATAGGTAAACGTTACACGCGGCATTTTTGAGCATAGATTTCCATCTAGGTTTAAGTACGGACATATACACGTTTTTGTTTCTTACCTTGGAAAAGTGCTCAACAGCATGAACACCAAGTAATGCAATATCTTCGGCCCGGATAAACTCGAACAGTTCGATAATGGCTGAGTCTAACAAATTATAACGACTGCTGTTGCGTTTGAGTGCATCAACTACAGGTCGTAGGAGGCAGTTAACGGCGATGTGTCTGTTATAAAAATCATCTTTCAAACCAACGATTCGACGGACAAACCTAACAATGAGAAAAATCCAAATAATATAACGTAACAGACATAATATTGTTATTACATCTATGAAGTTGACTAAATATGCAGTTAAAATGCGGCTCCGAAAATGCTGCTCGTCTCGACGTAGAATACAGCTTAGAAACTAGCAGCTTAAATTCAAGTTCGTGGGCAGACAAAGACCTTTGATATTGGTTACTCGTAGCAAAGGGTTCTAAATGAGTCTAAATAAAAGGATAAATGCCAAGGTCAAATCGAAGTGATAAGAAGCAAATAAGAGATATGGGCTTTTGTATTATCCAATACATATACTGAGCCACCTTATTTTCAATACCTATAGTGTGTCTATGAAGTTTCATCAGTAAATAACTTCCGCAACGAACAAAAACATTTTTAGTCTGCTAAGTCTTAGTCGGCGGCTTTCCTTGCATTATATGAGCTGTCATATCGCTCTAGATACCTACCGGAGAGCACATAGCGCAAGATGGAGATGTCTGGGGTATTTCATACAGTCCAGCACCCTTCGTAGTAAGTCCTTGTGCAATATGTAGTTTTTGATGTGATAGCCATGATGCTCAACGCAAAACGAGAGAAATTCAATTATGTGCGCAAGTAACGATGCACGACCTGCTGATAGCGGAAACCCTGGCGGTGGAGATCGATGTTGCTCGATAATTCGGTCAGTAAGGACATGCATTGAATATTTGTAGAACAGCCTGCATTACACAGATGAACGAATTACAAAGATCGTTGGCAATTTGAAAAAAAAAGTTAACAGCTATTGAAAACACTACAGAAGATGCTTTTTGTATGGATCAGCCTTACGCCACTCCTTTCAGCGGCAAGCAGCATGTGCGGTCTAAAAAATCTCTGTATTTGAACGTGTCCCCGTTATGGTGCAGTGGTGACGTGTTTGCTTACCGAACTCGAGGACTCATGCGATGGTTTAAATTTAAAACTGGGCTAAAAAAAATTTAAACTGGCTAGACTGAGACACTATCTCGTGTTAAGAGGGACCACTCGGTTCAGCTAAAGCGTAATAACCGTACATACAGTCGATGCAGAACCCATGTCTGTCTGGTCGTGAAAATAAAATTTAAGAGACACTAACCCTAAAAATGAATTTTTGTTCTCGTTTGGAGCAAACGTCTCAGGATCAAGTAGCATACGAAGTATCCCGGCCAACTGTACAGCCACGCCCGTATCTGGTTGGGGATCTGCTAAGATCTGCCGAAGAATTATATCCATAAGCAGGCGTTCATTATCGCCACACGTCGTCTGGTACTGGTCTAAACAGTATTCCCGAACCTATCACAAAAAAAGCGCAAATACATAAAAATATAGCATGATGACTTAGTTCAGTAAAGCCTTACATTTTCGCATCTAAATCAATCCATTCAAGTAACGATAAGTCAATAGTACGTATGTATATTAGAGAAAAAAATTTTGACACACAATGCTTTTTCAGACAAATGTAATGTTAGTAGTGGTCAAAATGTGCAAGCTAAAATGAAAGGGAACTGTATAATTCAAATTTACGTGTTTTTAGCTTTATTTACCATTGCTGTAGAGAAGTCAACGAGATAAGATAGGATGTCGATTGAAGCGGCCTTTATTGCTGCGTCCTCACTCTGAAGCGTCGCCTCCATCACCTATGATACAATTAGAAGTCCATTGTCAACGCTAGTCTTCGATGACACAGCTCTGCTGAGAAAAGGTTCTAAAATACATGACTTCCAGCTTATGATATCCCTCCGATTTTTTTCTGCTCAAGATTTCTCAACAAATGAAAATCGCAAGTATCATAGATAAATTTGTTCTGAATTATTAGACCAATCCTGTGATAGACGATAGCTTTTACGTTTACAACGTTAGAAATCAAGAACAAAGTAATTACCTGTAGGATACCAAGTGCAAAAAGAGCCTTGAAGAATGGTTCCCTACATTGCGGCTGCAGCGTCTGCGAAAAATTGCAGAACTCTTTGAGGAATAGGACCAAATCTCTGCAACGAGTAACCAGAAATTCGTATTATTCTACTGCAAAAGCAACTCGTTCAGAGAATCATGGAATTGCAACTCTATCAAGCAGAAGTTTGCCATGTCGTTATTCATTCAAGATCAAACATCTTTTAGGAACTGTCTACCGGTCACGGCTAGAGACAATCATGTGAATGGAACTGACTTCAGTTAAGATTAACATGCGCTGCAAGCACGAAAGGAAGGACTAGGGAAGAAAAAACACTCATATGCTAACCGTTTTTGCTCCACCGATGTATCCTGTCGTAGCTGGCTGAATAACTGATCAAGAAAGTGCCGATCCTCCTGCAAGTATATAAAATATAATGTTTAGTGCAATTACGATTTAAAAAATTGACACAAATTCTATTTGTAATTGTTATTCTGCGTGATTTTTGCCTACTTTTCAGCTACAAACAGCTACACACACGTAGTTCTTTATATACATATTCTGAGGTATGAACAGCTTATAGAAATTTCAACTGGTCCGATGCATATGGCAGAGGTCACCATGCACAAAAGCGAATCTGTTGGGCCACTATCGAGTACCTATATTAAATTCAAGAATGAGGAATAAAACGGCAAATCTTTACTTTCTGTTTGTACTCGTTAGGAAAATAATTTAGTAAAATTGCTACCTGTAGCATCGAGACGATGTCGGCCTTATTGAAGAATACGAAACTGCTCAGACATGACAGCATATTCTCCTCGAAGATTGATGGTGTAGGTAAGACTACTTCTTGGATATACTGAACACGGTACGTTTGATGAATCTTGGCGGTCAGTTCCGGATCCGAGAACGGAATCACCTGCAAGTTGAAGAAATGTGACAAAGGCACACGTCAAATATAGATCGTTAAACCTTCAAAGTCGACATAAAACTATGAGCCCTTTAAGACGCTAAATACTACAGCAGTAAAAATTAATTTTATTTCATCTTATTTATCCTGGCGCCTACGACAAACCCCTAGTATCTGTAGTGAAAATAGAATGAAGGAAAATGAAGAAATTACCTGATGGAAAGTGGCTCTTGCACTGAGGTACTCGCGGTGCCGTGCACGCGGTTTGTTCGGTTCGTATTCAAGGACACCCACAACCTGAAATGAGATAAGGATCCAAAAAGATCTCTTGATAAAAGCCATTGTCTGTACGAGCCGATTTGATATTCTGTACGAGCCGATTTGATATTACGCGGTAGTGTCCTTCGTTATTTGGCTGACAGTCATCGCAATTCTAAACGATGTATTGAATGGAAGAACATAAAAAGGATACAGTAGAGCGCTTATAACAACAGGTTAATAAAAAAATAGACAACGCACCTGCATTATGTTTTCCTCTGTAAACATGACATCTAACAGTGCGTTTTTGTTGAGCAGCAGAATCGACTTGAATATATTATAGAGTGTATGGAGCGATTCGAGGTCCTCGAGATCTTCAGCCACGGCGAACACATCGAGCAATTTCGTGATGTAGTCGTCCGCCTCGATAGCGGATGCCACACTGTCCCGGCGCATGGGGAATGGTAAGCATTCCTATAAGTATAAATGACAAAAGATGATGTTACAAGCGCTACCAGCTTATTTATGTAATTTACGTGATTTACCTTGTTGTTTCAAAATTCGGTTAATCTAGCTACAAGGCTTGTCTTCAAAAAAAGGTTTAGAGTCGATACGAGCATCTTTACGATGTGGCAATTTTAAAACTATTCGCTCGCTAACATATTTTACATTGTATTACAACAGCTGTAACAACGAGAGCCGATATATGTACCTGAAGAATCTTAGCAATTTCGCCGAGGTGCGCAATCTCTGCGGCTGGAAGCATCATCGCACGTGAATTCGAGTTAAGTCCGCCAAGTGTTGCTTGCCCATCGGGACATTCATCTTCGCTTTCGACCACCTCTTGAGTAATGTCGACTGAAGGGTCCCGTCCCTGTATCTGCCCAGCCATAAAGACGCAGAGACGAGTGTCAGCTCACCGTTTATATATATTACAATGTCAATCGGAACTACTAGCTTTCGGCAACGACAACAAATCCATTTTGTATTTAGATATGATAGACTTGCCTTACTTAGAAGCTACACTTCATATTGACCAGAATCAGCGAGTGAAGCCTCAGTTCGTGGGGCAGTTTTTATGCATATGGTCTTATAATGACAATACATTGGCAGAAACAGCGATCCAAAAAGCAATTTCTGCATATGTTTCTGTTTCTGTAAGGTTATTATATTTCAAATCGCCCTCGTAATTGTTAAGTTGCAAGGCTTTTTGCCTTAATACGTATCTGTAGCTTACAGACAAGCATTACGAAACTTCGCAATGTAAACGCAGGTATTTTTGAAAAGTAACGCTTCGAAGCCACATTTAGAGCTAAACAACACTCTATTTTTGAGCTCTTTGTCGTCTCACCTGGCAGATCGTTTTCCAAATATCGTCGCATCCTGCGCGCTCCTGGAAGCTTAAAGCAAGGTCATAGTTGTCTCCTTCAGACCACACAATCAGAGTCCCTTGCTGCCGCTGGTACGCAGTTTCCGCTTGCACCTTTGACTCGAGAAGGAGAGAACCTGTGCATGCGTACATTCACATTAACTTCGTCAGCAATCATAGCCGTTACCCTCGAAAACAGCAGCCTATTTTCACCCAGGTCTATAGGAAAAAAATGCTTAAAATACAATGATAATTCTACTCTCTTAGTTTCCTGGATATCATTGAATAGCTCCTGCAAATAGTTTTTTAAGTTAATCAACCTGATATGTCAAATGGGTGATCACTCCTTAAAATAGCTCAAAAAAACATGTGAAATATTTTCCATTCACCACGCACTCACCATCAATTTCGGCACGAACAACAAGCGAGATGCCTCCAAGGGATTCGACGAAGGGCGAGCTCACATATCCCGTACCCTTGTCGTCCCACTGTCGTTCCGCGTTTAGCAAATAGAGCTTCACTCGTCGCCGTACAGATTGCTCAGTTGATTGTGTCCCAGCTTGGCCGCCCACCTGGTTCGTTCCACTTGCAGCATTATTTACGCCGCCACTTTGTGTACTACCACCACCGTTTCCCAGATTATCGCCCTGTCCTGCTGTCGCACCGCCATCTGAACCTTCATTGACACCTACTCCTACGCCACCTTGTCCTTCTTGGTTCACATCGGTCGCGTTGTCGCATACAGCTGCAGAACTTTCACCGCTTGAAACGCCTGAAGTTTCGGCTCCCGCCGTTGTCGCGGGAGATGCCACGTTTTCAGCGTCCGTGGCTAGTGGCACGGTGGCTACAGCAGAGCCAACACTAAGGGACGCCCCAGTGTTACCTCGGCTAGAGCCTGCTCCAGCTGATTCATCAGCTTCCACACATCCACCCACAACCTTAACGGTACAGCCAACTGCCACAGAAACAATTGTTGAAGAAGCGCTCGTTCCGCCAGCCACACTGGAACCACTGCACTCTGAAGCATTATCCCGTTGCTGCTGCTGTTGTTGTTGGCCTTTTGGGCTACTATTTTCCTGGTCACCCGTGCTGCCTGTTGAGTCCCCACTGTCCTGAGCACCTCTCTCGGCTTTTGCTATCGTTGGTGCAGTTGATGCTGTTGTTGTAGTGGTCACGGTTGTGGCTGTAGCTGTTTCTGTTAATGTTGCCGCTGGTCCGGATTCTGCTGGGGTGGTGGAGGATCTAGATCCCGTTGACTCGCCTGCTGCTGAAGTAGCCCCCGCAACTCCTGTGGCTGTTAAGCTCGCGATCGCTGTTCGAGAAGACGTTCCAGAAGTTCTGTCCTGATAGCCTGGGCTAGTACTGTTGTCTTTTGTCGTAGGGTGTTCGCCTACCGGGGACGTTGTTTGGCCATTACTGCCACCACCTGTAGTGCCGCCCTCGTCGGGCGCCGCTACGACACCCGACATTACGGCAGGCGCCGCCTGATTCTGGCGTTGTTCGATGTCGCGTAAGTGTACCTTATGACGAAAATACAATCGATGTTATCACGTTCGGCATGAAAAACTGCCCCGCGAAAACTCACCGACAAACTTCTGTAACTAGAGTTTACTCAGCGCTTCTTCAGTATTCTGGAAAATTGCGTCAGACAAGAAGGCAGAAGAAAACGATTAAGAACTAGATTAGAATAGAGAAGTTTTGCATATATAGATAGCAAACTTACGGTCTGGCTTAACAGTTCACGATTTCTTGCTATTGTAAAATCAAAGAGAGGTGTTCCTTAGACAAATATCAGGTATACTTTGCTTCGAGAATAGAATATAAACACAGCGAAGAATATATATATGAATGAAAATATACCGGGAAATCTTGTTAGATAAACAGAGATCAGCTTATCCACGAACTGCTAAATAGCAAGTGGTATTTCATTGTTGTTTTAAAAACTGTTTTAAAGATTTCCATTTTTGGCATTATGTGTAGTTAGACACCAATGAGATATAAAAACTCATATACGTGAATCTCTCAAAATACTTTTAACTTTAAGAACAATGTCACTGATACGTTTAAACATTGAAATAAGCAATTGAAAGCGTGTGATCTCATCGAAACTCTTCCGCTTGAACAAATATCATCTCAGATGTCAAGACGCCGGAAGTAATACTGCATATCGAACACAATGAAAATTCCCATGATCAACAACTAAGGCACGCCGCAGAAGTTTCTGAATCGTGTAAGACGGCTTTGATTTGATTTTCTTAAAAACACCAACACAGCACCACCCCAGATTCCTCATCACTTCTAACTGATATTTTGTTCGTAGGAGGCGTAGCAAATATCAAAATACTGGCTACATTAGCTAATAGGCCAACGAGAATGTAAAGTGAAATCACCCAATACAAAATCAGACGGAGAAAAAAGACTAATATATCAATTGTTTCCCTTTACTCTTTATTTTCCAGGACCAAAATACCAACAGTATTGCGAAACGCATAAACCCAGTATTACATCGAGCATATCTAAGTAGGACATGATAAACCCTACCAAGTTTTCAAGGCGAATTCCTATCACACATGAAGCGACCTGCACATTTTTGGAAGGAAACGCTAAAAATCTTAAAACTGCACTAGCTTAATAACTCTTACGCCTTTGTCAACATAACTAACTGTTAGGTAAGCTATTTTTAAACGATATAAATAAATAAATATTCCAAGTTTTACTTCCTCCTTAGTTAAACATTGCTTCGGATGGCTAGCCCCTTCCAGCACGAGACGAAGTGTGTCTACACCTAGTTTCGAAAATAGGCCGCCATGTGTATCTAGGTTTAGTAGGTAAACACCTTATCATTGCAGCATTACTGGAACAAACTTATTTTGGACTACAGCATCTACACTGCGAACGAAAAGAACTGTCCAAAATGATTATAATTGAGACCGGGGAAAAAGTGAATAAAATTCTGGTCCTACACTTTTTTCCGCATGGACCCATGTAGAGTTGTTATAGTTGCACGTACCTATAACCACACATACTCGTACGTAGAAATTCTGCTAATATTGCAATGGGAAGGGTGTCTACGTAGGGCCACAAGAAGCAATGGTAGGAAAACGGCCTTTTCAATTTCTCTAAACTGTTAGGTGCACTTTTCCTTTTTAGTATCTCAACAGCATTATAGTCGCGACATAAATTTTTTAGAATTACCATAATGAATATAGTCGCGGTGACCTGCGATAGTACCTCAATAGTATACTGCTCTTATCTAAAAGACGATGTATCAATCTGGCATAAATGAATGGGATTATCCCTAGGTATTAGTTGTCTATAACACAGAAAAGACAATTATTAGGTTGTAAGTATTAATCACAAGGATCGGTGAGATCCCCTGACAAAACAGAAGACACCTACTTCAATATGCTTTTTTGAAAAGCCTTTAGAAGGAACCCGATAGATCGTCTTTTTTCTAACTCACATGTATATAACGTATATACGTGTGACATAACACTATATATATATATATATGTGCTACTTGCAAGAATATAGATAATAAGATCATCAATAAGACCATGAAAAGTTGGTAAAGAAAACACTGGATAGTATTTCGGCTTGCGACGCACCCTAGCAGTAGTCACATTCTGCTGAAGTGCCATTATAAAGCTTTTTTAGCTCAATACATAATACAATAACAATAAAGCACGAACTTTGACAAGATGATTACAAATTTATAATATACGGGCACGAATTCTGGTGCAACTGATTTCGCATTCAGTCATGTTTTGGTGCTTGCCTAATTTTTATGCATATCTACGTAGTTATCGGCAAGATTTGACACGATTTCAGTCATGCACAGCAACGAGCACTTGATTGCTAATTATTTCATCTTGCATACGATACCAAAGGGGCTACCCATGGTTTATGCTCAACGCAGACGACTGACGTTATTCCAAGCTTGTTCGTTATGACTCATAGAGTCCAAGACCGCTCTTGACAATACATGCACTTCATGTGGGAAATCAATGAATGAATACATCCTTAGGATGTAGCAAAGTGGTTCTGGTAGGCGTTTTTTCAGAATATTCATAGGGCAAAACGAACTTATTATACCCAAGTAACCATACGAAACGGTTTCAAAGAGTACGACGGGCCTTTTCTTCGCGCAGTTTCGGCATTTCGTGCTACCAAAAAGGTTCTAGCCTTCCAAAATTTTATTTTGGGTAGACATTTACGGACAACATGCCGTCGTGTCAAAAGAATGCCCAAACAAGTATAGAATCGATCACGCCAATTATGTATCTATTGTAATTTAGACCATGGTAACACTCCTGATATTGTCATTTGGTCTCGAACTATTGATCTTTACTCTAATTTTTTCGAACAGTGAGGACATGTACTATAGACGTTCGAAACTGATCCAACACATTTGACATTCGACCCGCTTTTAGCTTTCAGTCTCATTATAACTGATTAAACAGAAATGACTGCGTGTCTTTTAGAGAAATTCATCGTCCGGGTCATCTTCGTTGGTGTGTGTGCGCAAGGTTGCTACTATTGTTCAAAAATTATCCATAACATAGTAATAATAGTATCAACCGCCGTACCAATTGTGAAGCCGTCATACAATGAGTGCCTGTAGTTCTGAAATTAACGGTTTAGAGAATTATTGTCTTTTTGAACTTTTTTTTTATCTTCAATGAATCAAATGGTTCGTTGGTTAACACTGTAACAATACAGATACGGCTCATACGTAGCTTACTTAAGGGCATGACTTTGCCTCTGGGATGGATAAGTATTGTTGCTCTCCACAGCAAACAAGATGCCACCCGGCTAACAATTTGTCTTTAAACAGTGTACCTGGCTACTATACCTAGCTTGTATGATAACAGCCCAACTCTGCAATAACCGTGATCTCTTATGGAAAGGAACATAGCCTGGTTGCAATGCTTGTTTGCCAGGAGCAATTTTTGTCAACTCGGATGCGTTGAAGAAAAACAAGTCTCTGTCAGTTTTTTTGCTCACATATTAGCCTCAGTTAATAGCATATTGCACATACGACATGGCGAAACCGTCTTGTCGTTAACAACTATTAAGAAGTACATATAAAAAAAAATAGAGAACACTTAAATACACAACATTAAGCAAATGTGCCGTAACTAAATTATCATTTATTTCATTATATCTAGGCTACTTAATGTTAAACTTACCATCATTTCTTGCATCGCTACTCCTTCTGAGCCCGATAGAAAAGACCAATTTTTAAAGAAGAGTTATTATTTCTACGATTACAAGTATCTTTAAGTCAATTTGTGGAAGAATGATTCAATTGGTGGACAACCTCCATAAAATGAAAAGCATTATTTTATATGTATTTCAAATTTGATTGAAAACATTTTTCGAATTAGATATGTGAATGATACAAAAAGATTGTCAAATTCTGTAAAAATTCGTTTCTCCATTACCAAGTGGCTACGAGCGACTTCTACGTGATCTAATTCAGATTAATTCAGAACGAAACAAATCAAAACAGCATTGCTTAAAACAGAACATTAATTTATCCAGTATAATGTGAGTGATGATACGATTGTAGCTCGCTACTTTGACATGGACGAACACCGGCCACTGGTGCTGACAGCAGCAGCAGATGACCCTGAACGCTCAGAAAGGAACACAGCAGAGCATACGAAGGCACACGGTGTGCGTGCGACGAAGCATCGTGAATTATCCTACGTAGATAGAATAGTGCAGTTATACGTCGGGCATTGAGCACATATCGAGATTTCACTACCACAATACTAGACTATATATGTTAATAAGGCAGGCCCATGTGTTTGTGGCTAGGGATGCTTACATTGCTCCTTTGTGCTTCTGGTTGTAGAGGCTTCCCAGCAGTTATTCACTAACGTCCGTACTGTTAAGAGCCTGGATTATTTGTTATGATGATAATTAATTCTGTGTTGTGTTGCAGTTTTTAATGCGAACAAAAAATACTTTATATGGTGTATTTGTCTCTGTGTATCGGGGTGTGTGCGTGCTATAGTATATATGCATGAGTCTGTGTATTTCCGTGAAATGCGAAACACGATCAGCTATAGAACAGCAGGCAAAAACTCTATTGGTAGCAAACGCTATAAAGTGACAAGGTCAACCTCTTTGGACCTCTTTCCCTTTTTATTGTTGATAAACTGTTCAGCCGATCGCCATGGATAAAAAGGCTAAAATGCGAAAGACCTATCATCACCTAAACGTGAAAAAATCATCTGGCCATCGCATCATAACAAGTGATGTGCCATGAACTAACGGAATAAACAGAACGAAAACAAGCAATTTTGGTAAAATTTCTATATACGACCCTTTGCTTCATTACACACTATATGGAGCATGAACTTTTCATAAGGCCTAGGTGTAGACAATCGAACTTGTTGCTCCAAGATGCTCACGGAGACATCGAATGCATTTCATCGTCACGTTCTAAAGCGTTCTGTTGACAAACACCGCGCATGAGAAACGCACCGGCCAACGATATAGGCTAAACGATTTTTTAGTCGAAAGATAACTCTAATCCCATATGTTAACTACCTTTTCAACAGCAAATAACCATACCATATTCTGAAGTTAACGATATCTTTATCGTTTCTTAGTGTTACATAATTTTCAGAAAAGTTTAAGTTGACGTTATCATTTTACAAAAATATGTGGTTGCACCAGTTTGAAGGAGAGCTTAGAGGAAACCTAGCAACATAGATATCAATAACGATTACTACAAACAAACATTCATGACGCACACGCAAGTAACGGTCATTTCCTCATTGATTGTTTTGTTAGAAAGTAAACTCAATAATTACTTTTTCATTAATATCTCTCAGAAATCGTATCTGATCGAAGCACTTTTGATAACAGACATATAACAGTTAAATACTAAGTGGGTGATTTTTGCTGTGCACGCTGTTCGCAATTTGCCCGGTCAAGTTAACTGAATGTTTGTGTTTGAAAAACTGTCAAGAACAGCAACACCTTAAAAAGGCAAATTTAGACAACGGCAAAACTTGCTACTTATAAACATCTTTCCGTACCCTATTACTCTCAAAACCAGTGTTAATCAAATGGACAAAACAGAGTCCGCTGTAGGTTACTGCTGCTACCACAAAAGCAATATCCATGTAAAAGTTATTAAAACTGACCCACTGGGAAAAGTGATAATAGTATATCGGTGTATTGTAGACACACGAGACTACCAGCGCTGCGAAACTCCCATTTGCGGTCGCTCTGCCGCACCAACTTACCCCCGTTCCGGTGGTTGCTGGCATTCTATAAACCACTAACAAAACGTAACATATATTGATATGATGACGGTGGACGGCCCTTGAAAAGGAGCTAGCCCTGGAGTCTAGAAAATGGCGCGGAGGCATCGAAGCTCTAACCCGCACACACGGGTATGCTTGGCCACATCAGAGTGGAAGGTGAATATTGGCGCTTGATCTCCCCTTATTACCTAACCATTTCTGGAAAGCGGGGTACTGTATCTTTTGTCGTTTCAGGAACGATTTTCTGAAGGATGGCACACACTCGTCTTGCGTCACTACAAATGAATCCCAGATGGGAGCGACAATCCGGTACTATAAAGCTGTCACCTATACATTGTGCAGAGGTATCCATACAGACACATACACCGCCAATGTATACCTATAATAACAATAATAATAATATTGCATCCGATTTTTCAGTTCTTAATCGCGAGGACGAGTCTACTCGTTGCGTTACGTTAGTTGAACTAGAAGCCGCTGCGGCGCGCTTTGATTACCCTACACCTACTTACCTTCTTCAATTCGTTGTTAGGCGCGACGCGGGAATGACGACACTCGATTACTCTTTGATGGTCGTGGCCTTCTTGTTTCTTTTTTGTGTTCCTTCTTCGTGTCAGCCAACAACAGCTACGACGAGGACGTTGACGGCTTCAGAAGTTTTCGTTTTCCCGTACGCCAAGCCGTAGGCCGTATTCCTATTGTTATTGATGTTACCACTATTGTTGTTGTTGTTGTTGTTATTGGCGATACTCGACAACGATTTTGTTGTTGTTGTTATTGTTGTTGTTGGTGCAGACAATGGAGAACCGCGATGAAGACAAACACAGGTAAACGTCATGTCTATCCGTCGACCGCTTCTGTTACGACGGTTCCCGTGCAACAACGGTAGCAGCCTTTCCCCGCCCGTTACCGTCGTCCCGAGCGGGCGACGCCGAACTCACCGAACTTACACGAACCCCCACTGAATCAGGCCCGAAAGACTAATAAACCCCGATGGCACCGATCAACACTAGTCAACGGCGGCAATTGCGAGCCAAGCGGCTCAACACAACGTTAGCGGTTTTAGTTATTCGCATTACGGCACTTGATCGGCCTCTCGATTGCTGCCTAACTGCTTTGGTATTGCCGACGCCTGATGCTGCTGCTGCTATTAATGTTACTAATCACTGTCCTTTCTTCAGTGGCCGTCGCTTGTTCACAAAAACACACAGTCGTCAGTCAATCACACAACAGCACCCAGACGAACGAAAGGGGTAGTAACACCACAACGAAGGGGCTAACAGTAGCATGAATCCTGTTTGGCGAGCAGCAACACGGACAAATTAAGTCCGCGAGTTTAAGAGTTATTTCTACGCACACATACACGCACACAGAGCACACGCGGTCAGTTGTTATAGCAATACGTATTTGTAGTGTAATTTAAATAATTGTGGAATCGTAACAGCGGCAGTAGAAGTAGTGGAAAGCAGTAGCAGCAGCATCAATAATAGCCGCTGCTTCACATACAGAGGTGTCGCTACTGGCGTTGGCTGGCGGCCTTTAGCGAACACGAACAAAGTGACGATCTCAACGACGGAGGCACACACGAGACCCGCACGTCTAGGCTTGTTACCTCGTTTCACCGATAACCGCAAGCGCCCGTCAATTCGCCGTGTCGATTGGACGACTCGCTGTAATCACTACACATAACAGTGTACGGTTAGGCCCAACGATGCTCACCCTGTCACTCGGTGGTCCACTCACTTCGATGTGTTCCCGGACTCCACACGTCTAGCAGAGCTATATACACACACACATACATAGTGAGGCACAGATACACAACACCATCCGTACACACAGTGAACTATTTACAATCAACGCAAGACGTTGGGTCAGCTAAGACGGCGGTACCGGGGATCATGGTGAGGGTGTCACACTCAGCGTGCCACACCACAAATGTACCACACGCGTGGAAGAGCGACGAATGTGCCACTTGAGGACGACAGGTTGTAACCTGTCTGTCTTCTACGCAATAGAAATGAAAAGTAATGAAAAACAAAAAAGTTAAAGAAGCTTTGATGATGCATGTTTGATAAACAAAATTTGATGGCGGTTATAAATTGAAGCGCACTACTTTTTGTACATTTGAAATAAATACAAAAAGATAGGAAAGAAAAAGACTGCCGATAATAAAAAAAAAAAAGCTCGTATGAATAAGATCGCCTAGGGCATGTTGTTTTGATATTTTTTCAGGTATCATGGTATCACAACATGCAGCGATAATAGAGAAAATTTTCTTTTTCTGACATAGGTATACAGACCCTACCACTTTGAGGCCTAATCCAATACGACTGCATCGCTACCGGCCATAGCAGGAACTCGAAAATAAACGCGGGTAGTATGATTAAAAAGATGGTTATCTTAAGAGGCGCGCAGCAAGTTGCCTTTCCTTCGCCGCTGAAGGGGATCCACCTACCTAATTGTGTCTGTTGAAACTTGTCGCTTGGACCTCACCGCGCGCACGCCTTAAGTTCCCCCTCTCTCCCATTGTTTGATTGTTATTATTTATATTATTTGGTGACTGTATCTGTGTGTGTGGGTGTCGCCTGTATTATTATTTTTGTTATCTGAGCACCTTCGATGTCGTCTGCTTACACGTGCTGGCAGCCTATTCCTTACCGCAGATTGTGTATTCCAACAGGCCTGGAACTATATCTAGTTACTTGAGAAATGCTGCTCTGTATTGTTGCATAACTGCGTGAGCTCGTATCACATACTATCAAAACACGGTCATCGTAAGGAAGTATCGTAAGAGAACTGTAGAAATGTGAGTAGTTGGATTCTGTGTGTATTCCCGCTGAACTATCTGCGTCATTTGTGATTATTGTGGGCAGCGCTTGTTCAGAACATCTAGAACTATTGGGTCCGTTTGTATAAAAACCTGTTGTTATTTACAACAGGTTTAAAATAAGCTTATCCATTATGTGTTAGCCATCCTGTTGATTAATTAGATGTTAGAGCATTTCTAGTCAACAGGGAATTTATTTGTCTCAGATTCAGCTAAATTGTATATTGCTTATATATAGGTTAGAGAGTAACGAATAGGTTGATCCATATACACATTGGAAAAAACTTTTATAGTAAAGAAACTTTTTCTACAATTTAAGGCTAGTGACGAAACAAAATAAGATTTGTACCTGTGTTTTTGGTTAGCTTGAGTATGATGTGATAAGAAATGCGGATCCAGAACGATAAACAAGTAAATTAAAACTAAAACAGAAACAATGATTAGGAAATAAAACTAACACATCTGTCTTACATGTTCTTTCTTTAGTCCTACTTACAGAAACATGGAATTGCCAACACCGCTAACAGTGACTGTAACCCATAAATAAACTGACGATCAGGAGCTTACAGCAACGCCTTGGAATCATATTCCTTTCACGCAGCTCGTATAGACTGTCCAGAGGTCAAGAGAGCAAGCTTGGCTTGCTTGTGGCACAGCCGTGCTTTCGTGACTGGTTCACCACAAACGAAATTCAACCGGAAGAACCATGGAAGTGTGCAGCATTAACGATGTCAAAATATATAACCTGGCAGCCGGTAAGAGCCTACCAGATTGGTTGTCGGATCGCAAGAAACGCGCCCTAACCCAGAACGACTCGAAAGTTCGGCACAGAATCGAACTGATTCAGGAGTTCGAAATGCCAGCTGTTACAACTCACCTACGGGTCACTCCAGATCAGGAGTATATCGTTGCATGCGGAGTATACAAGCCTCGACTCAGATGTTTTGAAGTATCTCAGCTGAGCATGAAGTTTGAGCGGTGCTTCGATTATGAGGTGGTGGCCGTAGAGGTTTTGGCTGAAGATTATTCAAAAATGGTATTCCTCAGTTCGGAGCGCTACGTCGAGTTTCACGCACGTTACGGCAGGTATCATCGGATACGAATTCCGCGCAGTGGTCGTGACTTGAAATACCTCCAGCAATCCGCTGAACTTCTGTTTGCTGGTGATAGTCCCGAGGTGTACCGATTAAACCTTGAGCAAGGTCAGTTCTTTAAAGCGTACGAAAGTCAAGCAGCAGCTGTTAATTGCCTACAAATTCAAACAGACCACAATCTAATTCTAATGGGAACAAGCGATGGCACTGTGGAAGCGTGGGATCCTCGCTGCAGAGAAAATATTGGTATTCTTCCTGCGGGTGACGAAGTTTTTACTGAAGACCTAAAAAATATTCCTGGCATCACAAAGATATCATTCAGGGATCCTTTGACTATTGGAGTAGGCACCACATCGGGACACGTTTTACTGTATGACATTCGTTCAGACAAATCATTTCTTCGAAAGGATCATATGTACTCAATGCCAATTAGAAGCCTGGATTTCCACAATGACAAACGAATCATTGCAAGCGATGCCAAAGCGGTGAAAATCTATGGGGAAGACGGCAGGATCTTTACGAGCATTACAACAGCGCACGATATCAACGACGTTAAAGTGTTCGGTCGGTCAGGCTTGATTTTCATTGCAACAGAATCGCCCAAAATTCAGCCATATTACATTCCTGCTCTAGGAACAGCTCCACGCTGGTGCAGTTTCCTCGACAACATCACTGAAGAGCTTGAAGAAAGCAATCAAGACACCGTCTATGACGATTACCGTTTCATCACAAACAAGGAATTAGAGGAGCTCAATTTGACGAATTTGGTTGGTACGAGCATGCTACGAGCGTACATGCATGGCTACTTTATAGACACTAGACTGTACTATAAGGCGAAGGAGCTCAGTCAACCATTCGCTTATGAAGAATACAAGAAGAAGAAGATCAAAGAAAGGCTAAACTCCACGCGCGTAGACCGCGTTCCAGACAAACGAACTATGGACCTCCCGGCTGTGAATAAACGCGTTGCGCAGAGACTCCTGGAGAAGGAACAGGAACTTAAGGAGAGCAATGATAAGAAAAAAATGAAGAAATTCAACAACCCGATGAAGGATCCAAGGTTTTCTGCCATGTTCTCTAACCCCGAGTTCGAGGTTGATGAGGAAACTGAGGACTATAATAGACTGAGAAGTGTTATTGCGATCTTGCAGAAGCCTAAAAAGATGAATACTGAAGGTAGAGCTGCCAATATGCTGACATTTCAGGAAGGGGGAAACGAGGAGGATCGCGATGATGATGAGAACGCCTCTGATTTCTCCGATCTTGACGATTACAATAACTCGATCATTGATAGCCATGGGCCAAGTATTGAACCAGCGCCGCAGAAAAACAAGTCTGAGTCGCTCGAGGACAAGGATGCCGACGGGTTTTGTAGAAAAAGTGGCGCCGAGGCGTTACACGGATTCCGTCCAAACACAAAAAAAGTCAAGAAATCAACAATATCCCTCGCTGAGCGACTGGAGTCAGGCAAGGATACAAATCTGGTTGAGATAAGTAGGGGGTTCACATCAGGTAACCGAATGATGACATACCAAATTAAGAAAAAGCGATATGAAGATGAAAATAAGAAGCACGTGGAAGAGCGCAAGCGATTGCGCCGATCTACGAAGGGCCTCAATATGAATAAGGTGTAATTAGATTGAGTGTACTTAAAGGGTGATCGGTAGAGATTGTGAAAATGGGCGGTAAGGACTAATTGCTGAGTATTCTTCAAGTACTATGTTTAAAAAATGCTCAGGTGTTTAGAATGCTGTTGTTAAATCTGTTATTAGATGGGGTGGAAACTTTTGTTATTAGTTGACTGAAACTGTGAAAGCTATAACAGTTAAAGATGTCGCTATAGTTGTTTTTGGAAGAAATTTTTGCATCGTAGTTCATGCGTGTTTATATATATTATGGTACACGCATGGATTCACAAGCCAGATTTTTTCTTTTACGTCAAACAGGTCAAATAACGCGTGATTTCAACAAAGAAGGGGAATGAACAAGTGGATACAGATAACGTGTGCTAATTACTGAACCACATAATGCATTTGATATTCATTACATGTTCTTTTGGAACCACGTAACAGCCAAATGTATATTATTGTTTTTATTAGAAAATATTTTTTACGGAGTGACTTAATATGTGTATGAAATGAATACCGTTTCACGAAGTTCTAACACAAAGAAACGGTGTCTGAAATTATTTATTTGACAAGTTTATTCTGTCGCTTCAGGGATAAGTTACTGATAGCAACGCAATTCGCAAAAACACTGCAACTTTGCCCTAAAATTTACTCCTTAAGAGCTTCACTATGCAGTCGGATGTGGTCTTCGATAAAAGTGGCTATGAAGAAATAACTATGGTCGTAGCCTGCATGTTGCCTGTAGTTGATTTTTAGCTTGTCGCTGGAAGATGCTGCTTCCTGCAGCTTTTCGGGCAACAATTGATTTTTTGCCAGAAAATCATCGTCTAGTCCCTGATCAATTAGGATGTTCAAATTGGGTCCAGTGTAGGTCTTAGCGAGCTCCGTAGCGTCGTAGGCCTTCCAGGATGCCTGATCGCTTCCTGGAATATACATGATAAACCAAAAATGAGCAATGTACTTGATGGTTCTTCAGCGTGATAGTAACTTTATATTAGACTGCTACATCTAACATCAAGCGGCGACAACCCCTATTAAACTAGTACTAAAATATGACTCTACACGTTTCTACACGAACTAAGTTTCATAAATATAAGATACAGAAGAAAACTAGTAGTAATCAATTGAGCCCTTAGAAAGATAAATGTAAGCTAACTAAGTCTATTCACCTAAGTAAGCGTTAAAGGCCTTCTGTCCCCAAGGGCATTGTGACGGTGCGCAGATTGGAGCAAATGCGCTAGCAGATCTGTAGCGGCCGGGGTTGCGTAACGTGCAAATAAGGGCACCGTGCCCTCCCATTGAATGGCCCATAATCGAAGCCCGAGAGGCGTCGACCTCCGATGCGAAGCTGGTCGCTAAAATCTAAAAATAAAAAATACATATATATATTAGGTAAGATTAATTTCTGCTCACTTTGATCAAACTTTTATTTTAAAATGCTTATGTATTAGATCTAATTAAATGCACATTACATAAACTGTGTCTAACCCAAATCAAAGTTTCAGATGCAATATTAGAAAAGCATAGGAGCAAAGCAATCGAGCTGGGTTGACCAAAGAATTGCATTTTAAGATATATTGTGAAGGTTTACAGTTTCAGCTGCACGAGATAATTGCAAAAGAAAAAAGATACCCCAGGCAGCTCTTTGGTGACATAGGAGTACATTCTGTAGTTGGTGCTCCAAGGTTCCTGGGTTGCATCCACGTAAAATCCAGCACCGGTACCCAAATCGTAGCTATCATCTTCACCAGGAATATTGCAACCCCCTGGAAATATATTTTAGTTGTGCATTTAAGTGAACCTAATCGATTAGATTTGCGCTACAGGAGTTTTTAAAGGAGGCAAAAAAGTATTTTGAAAAATTGCACATTATCTAAACATACATGCATATTTAAATAGTAATGTGTTATATCCCTTGAAACAACTTTATCATTTTTCATACACCTGACAGAACTGAAGACTAATTGGATTACGCGCTGACATATCCCCACACCATACATTATGGTTAAAACCTAAAATACATATGAATTCTAAGACTCTAGCAAATTCCTAAGTTGATTTAATTGCATTTTCAAATATATCGGGTACGTACGGGGGCTGGTATCCGGACAAACTATGGCGACCTGATATTTCTGCGCAAATTGTTGCGCGCCGGCCTTCGTGATGAAATTCTGTTCGGTACACGTCAATCCTGAGAGCCAATATATGACAGGGACCTGATGACGCAGAGTGGTAATGCAGTGTCTTTGTATTCGCTGTAATACTACGACTGAAGCAGGGGCTTGATTCGTACTGGTACTTTTGATCTTACCAAAAAAATTTTTGCTACTGTATCCAACTTTTTGTAATCGGCAAACATACATTTATGCTTTGAAGAGAGTGGAGTCGTATGTTGTGTTTCCTAACGCTAGAATGTTGGAAAATTTACCGTTAGCACAAAATATGGCATTTGCTATTTCTATATCGTTACCTGCTTTGCCTATACATAATTAATTAGACGTAGATCAAAGTAATTAGATGCAAATTGTTGTCGAACTTCGCACCTTGGATTTAGCTTCAGGTAAATAAATAGCGAAAGTGGCTTCCTTCTGTAACGTGGTCGAAGCATGTTTAAAAACCTTTTGGAAGCCATTAAAGATTTTATTGCTCGATACCAATATTAAAGACATCTGTAAGAAAATATAATGATAAAGATAAATTGAAGTAATATTAATATAAACTAAAAACATGAATAATTTTCTACTAATTAGAACTACCGAAATATTTTTCTATTTTTTTTATAGTTCTAAGGTCTAATAAAGAAGTCGACGCAACCTCCCTTTAAAATAACCTGCTTTCTATTACTAAAGGTAAAGCTGAAAGACTACAGACAAATGGTAAAGTTACACGAACTTCTGAATGTGGAGCCGTCTAGTCCTTTTCTGTCACAACAAAGGCGAACTCATTGCAATTAAATTTATCAAGCTCTACGCATACAGACTACACTGATGAAACACTGGAAGAATTCAGTGTTGTCAAACAAGCGGCGACCAACAAGTAGATCTTGGCCAAGTTGACATAGAATGAAGTTGCAATTAGGGGTAGCTCGATTGTCCACGCTGTCAGCGCAAATCCATTAACACATTTGTATTCGCGCATGTATAGTTGTCGGATATATTAAAGTTCACAGAACATGTTATTTCCAATTGGAAGCGACAGCAATTGCCTAACACGAGTATTGCGGAATACAAGGCAGATAATTAAGTGGTTTGGTAACAAGTAACTTACATTGACTTTTAATTGACCAATCGTAAAAATTCAGCTGTCGAGCAGAGGCACAAGTCCTTACCTAGGACCGGAAAAATGGATGAATTGATAAAAAAGGATCAACATTTTGAAGCGGCGGCGGCGTCGCTATTTTTGGGAGAGGGTAGCTAGTTCCGGCGAAACCGGCGGGATTTTTTGAGAATGACGCATCCATTCGATCCAGTAAATAAAATAGGTCCACATTGTGTCGTGCAAGCAGTCCACCAAACGGAGCACCCATTCGATTTAACCCACGGGTTGTCACTAATAAAAACTGTGGATCCTTGGACTCACCATGGGTCTAACGGGATATTCAATCGAGACCGATAACTTATACATTTGTATCTACGATACAAACGTTGCCTTCGGGTCAGATAAACACTCAATCAAATAGAATCTATATTGCTTCAGTTGCTTAAAATTGATTATGCCGTATAATTATTTTCAAGATCAAAAATTTCATTTGTGCACAATTAAAATAAGAGTAATTGTATTCAAGCTTTAATTCAAATTGTTGATTTTTTTGTGTTTCATCCATGTAATGAAATTAATACTCGTCGGTTGTACACATGAGCTCAATTAATTATTATTCAACGAGTATTGCTTGCGTAGTATTCAAGTGTATTTCCTGCACCGATACCAATGGGACCGAGACAACTATCACAAACCTCAGGAGCGTTATGGATCGGATCGCACTTGTGACAGATACGAAGTTTAGTGGTTATGAAGCACCTATTGTGGATTTGTTGCCCAAATAGATATATTTAAACTAAATTTTAAGCAATATAAGCAACTGTGCGCAAATCACACTCAATTAATCAGCTGAACCTCACAGGTTTTGTTTTCTTTTGAGTGTTTTGTAAAAGAAATGATTTACTCCTTGTAGAGAAAAAGTTTAATTTGTTTTCTCGAAAGGAAATAGATATTTTTTGGAAGAATGAGATGTATTCGAATATATCAAGCTTTTTAGGGACATCAACAGAAAGTTTAGTTTTTAGCCTATAAACTTGAAAAATAAAAAAGATCTTTTTGCCCCATATGTTTTTGCATTTTGTTGATTAGGCGTATTTTCGAGGGGTGATACATGGTTCGCTAAATATTTATTTCTTAAATATTTTTCTTTTTCAGGACTAAAAGAGGAATTTCTCAAATCGTAATAAATACAAATTTCATAAATCCTTTTAGATTTGTAGTAAAATGTATACCGTACTGAGAATTTGACAACCTATGGCCGATGATGTTTATCCTGTAAAGACAAAAGCATAATTAGCTAAGGCTTAGCTAAATGTTAGTGTCTCAGTAAATGGTTAAATTGTACGTTCGTTTATCATATATTCATATTGATTCAGTTATCCGTTACACTCGTCAAAATCCGCAAAACAGAAACGTGTTCTATATAGAGGTCCTAAAGAGATGCGAGGGAAAATTTAGGTAAGTTACCTACAAACGTAACAATTTACTGCGCATTGTTACCCGGAAACCTCTACGTGTTCAACTTAACAAAGTACAACCCATTAGTTGATGCACCACAATCATGCACTTATTCCGTACTTCTGTTTTAGTCGATGGAACTGTTTTGAAACACCATTAGTATTATTATTACTGAATGATTAGTATTGTTATTGCTGAATAGAATTATGCTTGCATTGGATCTAGTATTTAATGTAATGTAAAACAAAGCCATATTGAAACTTTATTCAATGCAGCATTTTCTAAAGGGTATATATTCTTTCAGTTTTTTTAACAAAAGATTCTGTATCAAAGATCCAAATCATATGTAGCTTTACCCGTTTTACTGTGGCAATGGTACGACTTTTAAAAAACGGATAGTAACGAAGACAAAACCTCTAACCTCTGATTGATGAAACATGTCTTGCCAAAAAACCATTTGATCAAGTTAAGCATGTTTACATGCAAGCTGAATTATTTGTACCTATAGAAAAAAAAAAGGGTCCGTGGCCAATGATGTTTTCATCTTACAATGATAATGTTTAAGTGCATCGAATTTAATAAACGGTACACGTAAAAGATAACTGACTTGGCAATGACGACCTGGTGATTGAGCTTGTGTAACGTTCTGAGAAATCAATCTCCTGAACTATGCTATCGTTTTTTTTATATTCAAACCTAACAACAGAACCGTTTATCCCTTTTGGTAAACGTTGGACTGCCAAGTCAAAAACTTTATCATAAATTAGGTATGCTGATTTTGATTAAAAGAAGGTACTATACTATTATCTAAGCCAAAAAACAACGTACCTGAGATGAAATCAGCTCACAGGCATTGGGTTTTTGAAGAACGCCCTCAAGCAGTGCTGCACCTGACTGTCAACATGGGTCGGTAATTATGCCCTCCGTCTACCATTTTTTGTCATTGATTGTTTTTGGTAAGTTATAGTTAAAACTCTCATGATTCGATAACTCATGATTCCAACAAGTACTAAGATATCTATATTATGTTCAACATGCGAAAAACAAGCTAGTCATAATTAACTGTTTAAATATACTACTAATACAATATAGTAAAATACAGTAAATTGGATTAAGATGAATATATTACTGTACTTCGTTGTGTCTGCTTTACATACAAATCAAATTTATTTTTGTTGTCAGTAGCCAAAGACTTAGGTATACAGATCAATAGCACATAATCTCAGCGCCATAGTGAGTATACGAAACACTCAGCGTTACATGGATTATACAAGTGTTGTTGAGTTTATAAGACGAATTTAAGAGATTTGCCAGAAGCCTTAAAGATGGTACGGCATAATATCTGTCCCAATTCTCCCCGCATATGAAACACGGACATGTATCGTCAGTCTCGTGGAAAGCTAATTTCATATCGTCTATAGTAAAATCATGTACGGAATAGCAGTGACGACTGTTCATTGATTCAAATATCACTAAAGTAACTAGCATTGCTTTACATGCAAACTGAGACAAAAGCTTCTTGACGGTTTGAAAGCTTCAATATTACATCTACGCAATATATATATATACAATGGTAGAATATTTAGTGAATGCATGAACCTTGTGCTGGAAGCTACCCGTCTGTAGTGGTGCTCAGTGCGGAAAAAAATAGATATCTTTTCTGCAGTAGCCCTGTTTATCAGTTCTTTTTAACCAGGCATATCCTCGAGCAGTCTATTTATATGTGTACTTATGTTATTCGTCCCTACATAGAGGGTAACATGAATAAGTGTTCCCGTTGATGCTAACAAGCGTGGGTAAGCAAGAAATTTTAGGCGTTTTGAAGCACCGCTTGCAATGTACACGGTGTTCAGATACAACGGGAAATACTTTCACCATATCCATCCTTTATCTTACCACATCGCAGCCTCTAAGCAGTGTTTTGTTTATAAACGTTCTTTAATAAAAATTGATGCGATAAGGCCGATCATATTCAGAGCATCATACCTTACTGCACGAAAATGTTTTTAGATTCTTCTCGTTTAAGACGACTGCGCTGCTAATTAAAGCCACAGCATACAGATTACAGTATTTCCCAACAGTATTGCAGATAAACTGCATGCAACAAGTAGCTTCCCCAACATGTGCATTTCAGTAATGGTATAATAAAATGCGGAGAAAAACGAATGAAAACGTAAATACGCATCCGGACATTGTATTCCAGTAGCTATTAATTCCTCATTGTTTAATCTCGTAACTACTATAGGAGCAGTGTACTGACCGTGAACAGTGTGAAGTCCTGCAATATAAAAGTAATATAAATGTAATATAAAAGTACGGCTAAATGAAACCAATTTCTTTGGAGAATGCGAAACTCGTATATACTTAGATTCCTTCAAAATTCATGCTTAGGCCAATCGTGGTTTTTCGAAATTTTATTCTTCAATCGCCATTACTGTGGTCGTATTATCGAGCTAAGTGCTGAACCCGATAAAATGACCGTGTGACACCTGCAACAAGCCCTAATTGTATATTTCATTTTCTACTAAAAGCATATTACACGCTCGTCAGAGTTCGTGTTTCTCTTAGAAACAATGTTTGACGCTAGTACCATAAAATTCGTAGCATTTAATTACGATTGAGTTGCTCTATTTTTCGTAGCAGAACATCGAGAATGCAATCGGCAGGCACAGTGTTTTGGTCTTGTAATTGTATTGTTGTAGGCTATTTCCCTTCTCGCGGGCGGCGTTAGCATTAACGTTGACCGTCTAGATGAGCGAGGTTTCCTCAAGTACCACAACTACTTTTGCTATATCTAGGGTAAGTGCTCTATCAGATTTTTTATGCTGAATATAACGGTACGGGTAAGTGTTGGGTGACGCAACGACGAGGCCTGTTCACCGCAGCGAACAAGGCCTACTATTGTAAGAATAATGTAGATCGGACAATGAGAAGAAACTATAGGGGCATTGTCCCGTAATAGCTTAGTAGACAACGTAATTGCGTGTTCATAGTAGAGACACGTTGTGGTCTGGGGTCAAACCTGAGAATGCAGACGTTTTATTTTGGGCTGGGAGTCAGCTGTATGATGAATAGGTTGACAACTCGAAATGAAGGTGCGGTAGTTGAAACGACAACTACTGACCTGTTGCAATAAGAAGCTAGGCTGGATCGCCATTCTGACTAAACAACAGACAGACATTGTTGTCATGAATGCATTTGTATGCTAGAAAACCCATAAATCTAGTATTTATCATGTTTCTATTATTTCATTTTCCATGGTTTTGTTGCTTTTGTATGGTTAAGAAAGAAAGCTTGTTTGGCTTTTGGTGCAGGTACTTCGTCGGTTTCTGATGGCAGTAACAGAATATCAAGCAGAGTGAAACTGTGCATGTAGGGTAGCGCAGTATTTCAATGTTATGAGTTTGGGACACTTTGAATTTAGATTACTGACGATTATCACTGCTATCATAACTCTGCTTAATTAGCGAACTTGGCTCAAAAAGCCAGAGATAGCTAAGGAGCCAGCTGGTACTGGTTTTATTATATAGGTTGTCGGCTAGCTTACTCAAAGTCGTAGTCTATTTAAATGCCTTATAAGTTTTTCCTACTACTGGCAATGAACTGTCAGAACTATGTGAATTTGTGTTATCGCGTGCTGTCAAATACAGCTGATAATAATCGATACAAACGAATGCTCACCAAAGGGTTGCACTTTGTTTAGTTACATTTAAAACCATTTGTGGAATTAAATATATATGCAATACATTGTGATCAATTTGAAACCTATTTTTCCGAAAGTTTTACGTGCTTTTTAATTTGCTTTTCAACACTGTAAATGGCTAAGCAATTTATAGGAAATTGTGGACGCCACTTTTCACCAGAAGTTACCAGTAAATCCGCTTTATTTATTCATAGTTACGACGACACTCTATTGGCAATAAGATATGACTCACTTTTTTTTATATTTCAGGCAGGGTTCATCTAGTATGCCATAATTTCAATAATGGATACAAACCGAACACCCTGAGGTTGCAGCTTCGACTATTACGTTGCCGGATCTCGATCGAACAAACTCACTGTGCCTCAAAGATTGATCAGCTTGTTCCATGATAAACAACAATCATGTAAACAGTAAGGTACGCGTCTTTCGGTTACTTAATAAAGTATCAAACTTTGAGATGTAGTGTCGATATCTGTAAGGGGTGTATGTCTTAGAGTAACAAGGTGTCTGATCCTTGAACTATTGACTGTTTTTAGACTATTTGAGCCAGTGGAAAAGGCGCTAACGGCTGTGCACATGAGTCTTGGCTGGACTTTAATGCTGGGCTAATGGATGAAAATCCAAAAATCAAGGAGGAAGCTTTCAAAGAACTTATGAAGAAGCGTGTGTAAATACATACTTTCCTACCGCTGTGATATGGATGTATGATTTGTGTATAAAATCTGTTTAATGAAATGCTGCCTTGGTAAACATATTCAAATCGCGCATAAAGCTG